CCCCTCCCCCGTTCATGCTGTCTCTCTCTGTCCCAAAAATAAATAAACGTTGAAAAAAAAAAATTTTTTTTTTAAAAAAAATTTTTTTTAAAGAAATATTTGGTAGTTACTAACAGATGAAAAAATTTTGAAAATAATGAAAAAAACATCTTTTATGAGGAAAATATGTTAGATTGATATACTAAAAATAAATTTTAATACCATTAGTGAGAAGATGTTGGGAAAACTGGGTTTTCTCATGACTCGTGGTAATGGAAAAAAGCAAAATTTTCCAAAATTAAACTTGGCAATTATGTCACGTATATGCTGAAATGTTTACAAAGGATATTCCGCAACTCATTCTACTCCCAAGGACCCCCTACTCTTAAGCATTCTCTAAATTTTTTTCATAGTATATATCTTCTAATATTTAATATATTACACTTATTGTTTCATCGATACTTATTAGATACACTCCATCTAACATGTAAGTTCAATAAGGGCAGGGATCTTTGTCCATTTTGTTCACAGACATATTCCAAGTACCTAGGACAACATATGGCGCATGATGGACACTTTGATAATGTATCTGAGCAAATATGAAAGAACAAATGAACAATTCAAACAAACAAGAAGATATTATTTTCATCTACCTGGTTGGCAAAAATTTTAAAAGGCAAACAGTGTTCAGAAATAACAAGGTTATAGGAAAAATAACACTCTCCTACATCAGTGATAAAAATGTAAATTGGTACAACCTTTCTGAAAGTCAATTTAACAACCTGTATCAAGTTTTTAAATGTATATACGCTTTGATAGAACAATCACTGTTTTTAAAATTTACCTTAAACCATCAATCAAATAGTACTAAAAATGTATACTGAGAAAGATGCCTATCCAGATCCACATATCTATCATAAAAGAAAATCGGAAATTTCAATATTTATCAATAAGATTATAAAAATTACAGAACACCCAAAATATAAAATATTAAAAGAATGACATTAAACATATACTAGCATGAAATAATGTTCCCAACATAGTGGATAAAAAAGCAAGTTATGTTAAGAGACTTACAGGAGGATTTTAATTTATATTAAAAAAAATATGTAGGTCTATCTATATGCATAGAGAGAATATGGAAGTGTGGTCACCAAAACTTTAACAAAAATTACCTTCAACTGCTTGGGCTTTGATTTTTACTTTCTTCTTTAAGCTCTTCTTTATTACTTGAAATTTTCTACAGAGTATATCATCTTTCTAATCAGAAAAAACAAAGCTATTTTCATTTAGAAAACCTCAGAAATCTGTTTCTAATCCCTTTGTGGCAGGTAATATACAGTAAGAAAGAAAACTTATTTCCATCATAAGGGTTTTCTGTCAGATTGACAGACCTTAAATATCTTGACTTCTATTTCACCTTAAATTTAAACAAAGGTTTGGGGCACCTGGGTGACTCAGTTGGTTAAACATCTGACTTCAGCTCAGGTCATAATCTTACGGTTTGTGGGTTCGAGCCTCGCGTTGGGCTCTGTGCTGACAGCTCAGAGCCTGGAGCCTGCTTCGGATTCTTTGTCTCCCTCTCTCTCTTCCCTTCCCTTGCTTGTGCTCTGTCTCTCAAAAATGAATAAATGTTAAAGAACATTTTTTTTTAATCTAAATAAAGGTTTCAACATTGTTTTAGGAAACTATTCCCGGAAACAGAAACCCACCAGCAATGCCCAAGCTAGTGTTACTGGAGACTCGTGTTAAAATCATGCTTTCTACTTGTCTAGCACTTTTTCTGTATTGACCCGGCATGCTAACAAGCATTCAGACAGAAGGCCAAACCAAACCAACAACAACAAAAATGTACAGCCCTTACCAAAAGCTTATATTCTAAAGTATATGCTTCTTGGAAAGTGTGAAAATTGTATTGTCCAACCTACCCAAAAAAGCAATGCAATTCCCTACCTACCTATTAAGCTCAGAAATCAATTTAGAAATCACATACAGTAATAGAAAAAAATAGGATCCTAGGAAACAAACAGTACAGAGTCTGGCTCTGCTACCTACTATCAGCTTAATCATGGGTGATTTACTTATTTTTCATTGTGGTTCAGTTTCCTAATCTATAAAACGATGATACCACAAATGTTATATGATTGCTGAGAGGCCTATTTGTATTGCTACATATAAAGCCTCAAGCTTTATATACCTACCACATGTTTAGTTTGTAATGAACATCAGATACTAACTCCTAACCCTTTATACTCAGAAAGACAGCAAATATCACCATTTCTTCTGTCAAGCCTACCTGAACTTTCCAATGGAAACTTCTAGTTCTTCTAACACATCACTTCAGCCATATCACAATGTCTGTCACCTTCAATAACCTTACTTCTCCAGAGTAAGACCTACTTTGTATCTTATTCATGCTTATGTTTTCAGTACCTAGTACAGTGCCTGGCATAAACACATAAAAACTGGCAGAATGGGTAGGTGAGTAAAGAAATAAATGGGTGGAATTTATCAAAACATCTAAAACAAAACAAGCTTATTTCTAGGATACAGCTGGCTTCCTACTAAAGAAAGATCATATCATGAACTAGAAAAGTTTACCTAAAAGAAGCTAAAATTCAGCCAATTCCTTCAAAAAGGTTTAAACCAAATTAAAAAAGCCATACCAGTGATATGCATTAAATCAATGACAGAGAATGTTAATAAAAAGTCAACCTCAAAACTACACATGAAGTTTTCTAATATCAAAATCTATTTCTATATTACTTTACTAACAACAGAACTATCTCATAAAATTGAAACAAGTCTTGATAGTCTCCTAGCTCCTATCATATATTTCAAATACAAATAAGTAAAACTGTCAAAACAAATCACACACTCATACACACGCATATAGGGTAGCCAGGTAATAGAAAAAAAAAATTATTGTTTGGTTTTCCCTTAGCCATCAATAAAACAGATTTGAGAAATTACTGAAAAAGTCCCCCAAAAAATGTCCCTAAGTACATAAAGATCCAGAACAGAAGAAAAGTTACTAATAAAAGAGCTTGCTGCTAAAGAACAAAAGAAAAAAGAGTAAATGAAAATAACTTAGTCTCATTTTAAAAAATAAAAAGAAAGTTATCAATGCAAATAATCAAATTAACATTTCACTGTAATCTACATAAGAGAAACTTCAAGTTGGAAGATTCAAATCTGTTCAGAATAGATTTGAAACAATTACTTAAAAGTATAATCAATCTAGCCTTTTCTAATAAAAGTGCTATTATAGACCTGCCTGGCAGAAACATTATGATCCTATAACATTCATGCTAATTATGTAAATGAAGCTGCTACTATTTGAAAACTATTTGGTCTCTTAATTTAAAATTACATTAGCACTACTCCTGAAACCATTATTACACTATATGTTAACTAACTTGAATTTAAATTTTAAAAAATTACATTAGCACTAAAATTGTTTACCCAATAAAAAGTGCATAATGAAAGCTGCTTTAACACAGATAAAGGTAAATGTAAATAGAAAACCCATAAAATCTAAATCAGAGAAGTGTAAACTAATGAAGTTTTGAAGAACCAGAAAGTTATCTGTTTATCTGTTTACTAAGAGATTTCTAATTCAGAATCTCTTTAGTACTCTTAGAATCCCTAAATTATCATCTCACACTACAAATTAAAATATTTCAGATCATGGTTAATATTTCATTTGTGAGCATTTTAGTTCAAAATAAAAGACATAAAATCGGGGACATTCCTTCCACTCTGGGAAGGAAGGAAGGAAGGAAGGAAGGAAGGAAGGAAGGA